ATTAAATTAGACCGAGGGAGTACTATTTTAGTTTTTATCATAAATAATATGTAATGCGGGAATTTACATTTTATTTTACACGGAATAGTATGTGGAATAAGAATGTGAGTATTAGTAATACGTAGATTAAAAACACTAAAATGATATAACTGACCCTCATAATGTGAGCACAGTTTTTTTTTGTTTAAAAAGTTAAACGTTTATTTTAAGTTATATTATGTATACTAATTTGTAATATATTAAACTAAACATTCAATAAGAGATAATTCTTGCGTTACAATTCTTGCATTATTAGTCTCTGCATTACTTGTCTCTAAACCACATGACCACTAAATCCTTTACCATTTCACCACATTCTTCGGTGGTTCATGTTAAGTTAATTGTTCTCCTTTCTTGTATATCTATTTGAGCCTATGTTATCAAGGCAAATGTTAGTCACACAGATTCTATGAGTTTTTCATTTGGAAGTCATAGTCGAGAATGAGTTCTTTCTCAATGCTGAGGCGGATCCAAGATTTTAGTTAGCATGTGTGTAGATTGCACCCACTCTTTCTTCGCGAGAATGGATGGGGGTAGAATTGGGCTACTTCCATTTGCTTAAATGTTTTTCTGAATATGTTATATTTTTATGGACGGGCAAGTGTGAATGCCTACATTTATTTGGCTAAGTGATTTTGTATTCAGGGTGGTAAGATGCAGTTGGAACGAGTTGAGTTCCCAGAAAGATTGGGAGAGCCAATGTGCCAGGTACTCTGTTTTCAGTGCTCGAGAGAGTGGTGAAGTTTGATCGTGTTGTTTCTTTTAAAGCTCAAGTGTTAAGGTTTTCTGCTTTCCTGAATGTAGTATAGCATTTTTAATAATTTTGATTTCATTGCTGATTGCATAATGTTCATGCGCAGTACTATTTAAGAACAGGGACCTGTAAATTTGGCGCATCCTGCAAGTTCCACCACCCCAAGAACTTGGGTGGATCCTTGAGCAATATACCACTAAATACTCACGGATATCCATTACGCCCGGTAATTGTTTCATGGTTTTACACGTCTATGCTTGTCTTCACTCTGTGCATTAGCCATCTAATTTTCTACAACTACAACAGGGGGAAATTGAATGCTCCTATTATTTGAAAACGGGGCATTGCAAATTTGGTATAACATGTAAATACCATCACCCTCAAACTGCTGGTATATCAGTGCCAGCACCTGCACGTCCATTTTATCCGACAGTGCAGTCTCTTCCTGCTCCTCCTGAGGAATATAACAGTGCATCAACTGGTCTTAGAGTAGCAAGGCCTCCACTTTTACCCGGTTCATATGTACCTAGTGCTTATGGTCCAGTGCTGCTTCACCCAGGAGTGGTTACCATTCAGAACTGGAGCCCTTACTCAGTAATACAAAGATCTTCCCTCTATCAACCTTCTACAATGATGTAATTTCTTTTCTAATGCGGTGATTAATTTGCTCGTTGCAGGGACCAGTAAGTCCTGCACTATCTCCCGGTGCTCAACCATCTGCTGGGGTGACATCTATCTATGGGATATCGCAGCTAGCATCTTCTACACATGCCTTTGCAGGGACTTACTCCCCATTACACTCAGCTGCTAGCCCTTCGAGCAAAACACAGAAGGAAAAGAGTTTTCCAGAGAGACCTGGTCAACCCACATGTCAATACTACATGAAAACTGGGGATTGTAAATTTGGATCATCTTGTAGGTATCACCATCCACCTGACTGGATTGCATCAAAGACAAATTGTGCTATCAGCCCCTTAGGCCTTCCTTTACGTCCGGTATGATAATGTTTCTTCTTTACGCCCTTTGTTTGATTTTACAAGACAATTTAGAATCTAATCTGGGTAAATAAGTACACTTTCCCTTTAAGATTCTTGCCTATTGCATGGTAATGTGTTATCGATAGTTAATGTATGCTGGACTTTGAGGTTCCTTATTTTGAGTTTGAGATAAAGTTAATGAAACAAGAAAGAGGGGAGAGAAGTAGAGGAAGCGGTTTTTTCATATAATTGTAGTCTTGCTTAAATTTGGTGCGCACGTGTTATAAAGTTCTGACTAGTGAAGTTGCATTAGCTGTCTCCTGCCTTCATTTTGATTATTGTAGGTTCACGATTATGTCTTCATTTTTAAAACTCAAAAGAATGAATCAAGAAGGTGTTTGGATTTTTCTGTATTTATTGAATTTCTTTAACATCCTCATCCTATATATTTCTTGAGGTACAATGTTTGAAGAGGAGGTTCTCCTAGTTTAGTTCCTCTTAACTGTTTAAAAGTCCCATGCAGTTCTACGGAGATATCTGTAACCTTAGTGAAGGGGTTGTATAACTGCATTACGATATGTCAAGAGGTAAACCTCAAGTTTGCCATGAGATTATCAAGTTTGTTCATGAGCTGAGCTTATTCCTTTATAGGATCTCATCATTTATTTAACTATGTAGTCATACAAAATGTCTCCATTTAACATGAAAATTAACGGATGCGTACAATATGCTGTTCATCAATGAGGAAATTCATGTTGTGCTTTATTGCTTAGTCGTGTCAGCAATTGGCGGCAGACGTTCTGTGAGTCCAGTTTTGTCCTAGCCTTCTAAGATATAAAAAAAAAAGAACAGATACTCGAGCTAATTACTGTAACCGTGGTATAGTTACATCCATGGGGTGAATCCTAAGTTTGTCAATGTTCTCTATTTTGTTAAATTTAGTTGACTTCACTATGCATTTGGATTTGTAGTTCACCAAACTCTTAAAGAGATGAATTTCTGCCACTGTTTGGTCATAAAGAAAATGATGAATTTATTATTTTTTTTTTTTGCTTCCCTAACAATTTTGTTGCAGGCGTCAAAGCGTATACCGAATGTATGTGTGCTATTGCTTTCTCTGATGGTTACTGCTCTCAGTCAGATGCTGTTATTAAGAGCTATGGGCCTGAATACTTTGTTTGTTTGAACTGTAACTTTCTTTTTTGTGCATGGTAGGTAATAATTGCTAAGCTAAGGGAGGTAATGATCTGTTTTTTCCTTTCTATCGAGCATGCTTTTCCTAGTCATTTCTGAATTACTTGGAAGTATTTCTTGAGCTGGGAGGGAGTAAGCATATTGTTTTATCAACTGTCATCGCTATAATTAGACGCGCATGGGACTGCTCACACTGAACTGCCTTTGCAGTTGAGTTTTCACGATGTCAAAACTTTCCTTTTTTTTAGGGGAGACGGAGTCAGCTGAATGCTACTGTTTCTTTACCCATGTAAAAAGAGATGGTTTATATTCTGTCGTGTTTGTCTGGAAAATGGTCTTGGTTGACTTTCTGAAACATTTCTTGTAAGTCTTCATGTTTGAGTGTTCCACTGATGTACATTTTATAAAGCAGGGGGTGCAGCCTTGTTCCTTTTATCTACTGAAAGGATTCTGCAAGTTTGGCCGCGCTTGTAAATTTGATCATCCTATGGGAACAGTACAATATAGTTCATCAGCTTCTTCTCTTCCTGATTTACCAATTGCTCCCTACATGCTGCGATCTTCCTTTGCTTTCGCTCCCACTTTGCTGCCGGAGTTACAAGCTGGATTTGTTTCAGGGTCAAAGGTGGACGCCGCCTCTTTATCTAGACCATCTTCTTCATTGAAAGTACAATTGGTAGCGTTAACCTAGTACTTTCTTAGTCAGGTCCTTTGCTCTCCAGTATGCAGTTATGTTGGGGAACTGATATTGAAATTAAAGTAAACTCGAAGCACTATGTATTATTCTTCCCTTGCTACATTGTATTTATACTGTCAGTAGAGAGCTTAATGTTGCTCAGTCAGGAATTGAAGTGTGTTTCTTCATCTCCGTTTCCCAATGTTTGGCATGATGTTCCCATTCGTCGAGATTGAGGGGAAATCTATTTTATGAATTAATAAGCCATATCTGCAGTTCTTTTCTTTGCATTTTATTATCGTCACGAGACTGCAAGGTTTCTATGTTTGCTGGGATTGCCCTCCCAATTCGGAGTTTTTTCCCTTTATTTTTTTTGAAGTTGCAACGTTGTTGACTGACAACAGTCGTGACTATAGTAGGGCAATAAGCTCTGCTCTCCCGCGAACCTTACTCTAATCAAAAGAAATAAATATCCCAACAACTAGTACCGGGAGAATTGCGCTTTTTTGAAGCGAAGATGCAGTAAATTTCGGAACCTTGCAAGTTATGGTCAACAGAGAAAGCAAGCTTCACGCTGATTCCATTAATATGGCTCAAGAACATGCGGTTGTAGTGCTAGCTTGTATCTCTCCTGAGCCCCCCAGTTGACATTTATGTTAGCATGATCTGCATTTTTCTCTAGAAAGCCATCTAGGAACCGGCCCAAAAGTCAGCAAGATCTAATATAACAACTTGTACTCTGTTTGGCCAACCTTCTCCAAGGCCAAAAGCACTTTTTTTCTTCAAAAAAAGTACTATTTTTTTTTTTCCGAAAGTTGAAGTGCTTGGCCAAACTTTTAGAAGAAAAAAAAAAGTGCTTTTGAGTAGAAGCAGAAGCAGTTTTGGAGAAAAATACACCTAGTAGACTTTTTTTTACAGCTTGGCCAAACACTAATTGCCGTTCAAAAGTGCTTTTCAAATTAATTAGTCAAACACAAACTGTTTCTCACCCAAAAGTACTTTTGAGGAAAGCACTTTTAAGAAAAAGCATTTCTCAAAATAAGCTGATTTTAGAAATGGCCAACATGAATGTTGCAGACAAGGGCTAGTCAATCTAATTACTGCATAGAACATAACTGAGCAAACAAAATGGAAACACGGGTGCTTGTTTTAGCCCAAGTTAACAGAAGAAAGAAAAATACTTGTTGCAATATCTTGTGAAAGCAATGTTAGACTATTGTCTGTTGAATCATAAGTATCAACATGATTAGCTGATATTATTCAAGTTTTTCTGATCGACGAGCATGAGTAATGGGGTTTGGATTATTAGTTTCATCGTAGAAGCCAAATGCAAGCAGCTGTATCGTGAATAGCCTAGAGATGAATTCATCAAGAGTCACCAGGGCTGAAAATTTCACAAAAGTTCCTACACATACAGAAAGACTTTGAAAGCTTGTAGCTAGGTGTGTTCGTTATGGCACAGGTGATACTGAGTAGCCATGAAACTCCTGAGCACACTTATAACAATAACTACTGTCTTATGACAAGTTGCATGCAATATCAAACGAGTATAAGAAATATTGGGGAAGAGCAATGGATCACATTGTAAAATTTTCTCGGTGATCGTGTAAGCTAACTACATGAAGCTAAAAAAACTCACACTTGTTTATATACCTTTATAGTAAAAGTTTGAGTGAGTCTCTTCTTTCAAGGTTACAATCAAAACACACTTCACTCAACACATCAACATCCTCCAAAATCAGCACTGTGAAACACTATATACTCTTTCTTATTCACATTAGAGTGGAGCATCAAGAAACCGAATGGCGCCTTCTCTTCTGAAAAAGTAACCGGCTTTCTGAGTTAGCTTTCCCCCCTATTGGCTTTAAATCTCTTATTCGGAATAGTGCATTGAGCTTGCTTAATTTCTTTGTGAATGACTTGAATAACTTATTGGCAGGATGTGACTTTACTAGCTCCTGTTTCATGGAAACATGATCTTTCTCTAAATCTGTAAGCCTCATTCTCATTCTTGCAACCTCGAGCTTCAGTTCTCTATTTTCTCTCCTGACTGATGCGTAGTTATCTCTCGGAGAGATGCATCCGCTTCCTGCTCCGCTGCCTGATCGCTGAGGGAACTGATTATTCATTCCAAAGAACTGATTATGGCCCCCATTCATTGCATTTCTCAGCCTGATTTGTTCGAAGTATAGCACTTGGACCGCCATTTGAACAGGCAACCGTTCATTTTGAGCTGCATGACTGCAAGCTTCTTGTGATAGTTTCTGGCAATCAATAGTTTTACAGAGTCGATAGCGTTCAGAGTCCTTAATGTTGGGATGAACCTGCCATGAGAATGTCATGCATTGTATTAAAACACATTTGGCCCGTCGGCCAAAAATAATTACATCAGCAGCCAAATATATGAAAAATATACACTGATTATGTATAAAATATGTTTATTATATGCATATTGTACATTAATATACATTCTGCCGGCTATTATTTTTGAGATTTGGCTATACTGTGCAGTTTTCCCATTGTTAAATTACTCATATGAGAGTACTAATTGTTGTGAACAGGTGATTGGAATAATGTAGATGAGGTTAAGCAGCTTACCTTGAGGAAAATATCTACAGCTCGGTATAATCCATCATAAACTAGACGGGCGTGGTCTGGAAGTAACTCAGCCAGTGCAATATACTTCGATGGAGTGAGGTTAGAATCGAGTGCAACTTCTGTTAGAAAATTGTCCAATAACTTTGACACCTTAACCATTGAGCTATGTTTGGGAGATCCAGGACTATCAAAGTCGTAAACCATTTCGCTTTCATCTCTCAGTGTGTTGTCCTCTTCATCATCCTCATCCAAATTCAAGAAAAAGGAAAAGATCCTCAAAATAGAATCTATGTCGTAGAGAGGGCTGTGATTGTTCCCATGTGGATTTGCAGGTATGAGAATATCTTCTAGAATTGCCTGATCTAGCTGCAGACTAATGCGCCTCTCTAGATCAGATCTGCAACAAGTGGATGCTGACGCTGCTATTGCAGATTTTAACAAACTTGAAAGAAAAGCCATTGGGACTGTACTTTTCCTGGATTGTGTTGGTAGTAAGCTAGCTATTGTTTCGACGACAACCCTTTGCCTTTTCTGCAAATCCAAATCCAAGAAACTTCCTTTAACCAACTGAGGATCCTTGATGAAAAGTCCCTGAAGTGAATTTTGGGCATAATTTATCAAAATTCTGCTGATAATGTCTTGTTTAAGACCCTTTGACTTCACTACAGATACAACTCTCTGGAAAAAATCTAGATTTAGCACAGTCAATGATTTTCCCCACCAGTCTATTGGTGTCTCAGAATCAAGGCTTTGAACAGGTTTGGGTGGGAAGTGATGCTCCAGCTTTGACAAACCAGATGTTAGTTGCTCTTTACAAGCATTGTTTGCAATTGCATTGATTAATCGACTAACGAGATTGACTTCTTCAGATGCCGGTAGTAGTGTTTCACAGCGATGAAGAACAGATATCGAGTTGGATATGCTTGGGAATACTGTATCTTTAAGGAATACTTCAGTACGAATTTCCAGGTTTTTCTCGGAGATATCTTCGTTCATTTCCATGAACTTGGATGCACATCTTAGCATCGCCACGTTTGATATGGTAATCTCAACGTTCACACCATAACAGAACTTAGCAGCAAGTTCAAATGCATCAGATCCACCAGGAAGACCGGTAAGATTAAGTCTTGAAATCTTTGTATCTTTGGCCTCTAGCAGCAGCTTTCTAATTCTTCCGCTTCGAGAAACTAGAGGAAACTGCAAATAGTGTGATATTAGCAATCACATTAGAAATGTTTCCAAGGTATTCTTCCTTCAATTTTCTTAATTTTAACAGGAAGCACATAACTTAGTCTAAGATCCACTACATTGAAACAACTTCAGCTGTTGTTTCTGACATTCAGACTGATGCATAAGTTCTGTTTTTACATCTGCCTTTTGACCTTTCTTTTCCGTCCCTATTTTGACACCATGAAATAAATTCTGTGTGGACACGAATGTCTTAATACAGTTGCCTACTTATAACAGCTAACATATAAATCATTTTCAAGCTACTTTAGACAGCCATTTCTTTGCAAAATTTATGCTTTTGAAGACTTGAACAATCCAATTTTGAAAAGATTGGTAGATCAAAATACGCGAGAAGAAGAATGATCTAATACTTCATATTTGTACCTTGTGAAGAGCAAAACTGGCAGCTCCTACTTCTATTGTAAGATCACTAGAAACATCAGATATCGGCCTGCAATAGAATATATGGTCAATGATTAAAAGTCGGAAACAGGAAATGTGTCAAGAAAAAACATATACTCCATAAACTTCTCTGTTTATATTTTTAGCCTAAGGTTTCAATAACTTACATCTCAACACTGTAATGCTGGATATTGGAACCTTAAAGCTATCTAAATTCAAGCGGATGAAACCTTAACGGTTCGGGGAGCATATGTTATCGTGCTCTAGCGCTTGTACATACGGCTACGATTTACGACCAAAAGTATCATAGGACACAATGAGTGGAAAAGCTCAAAACAAATATCTTGAATGGATACAAAGATTACTCAATGTGTTTAGATCCAACATAGCAAGTGGTAGTCGTATTCTGGTTTCTTTGAAATTTGTTCCTGGTTGTGATTTATCTTGTGGTCTGTAGTAATGTAACAGATAACTGCAGGACTCATCTGTACTTGGTAGAGGGCCCTCATTAGATACATAATATAGCTGTCTACACCATTCACACCACATGTTGAAACAAGAAACTTGAACACATTGGAATCAGGGCCACTATCATTTGGTGTAGGTGGTAAAAAGTCGAATATTTGATTTGTCATTTTCAATGATTGCAGCTGCTCATGTATAGTCATACTCTGCTGGTTCCTTTTATAACTTTAGGATCTGATAGATAATAACTTTAGATTTTAAGGTAAGTCAGCACCTGAATATGGTCTGTCATAAATGTTGGAAACTAAATTCTGTCCAATTACCTAACTCATAAATTCAGATACTTTGGTGGTTGAAGAGTTTAGTTTTTTTCTTGCATTAATTATTCTATGATCCATTTAGTTGTTACCAGTAAACTTGTTCCTCTAAGTGGAACTTTTAGTGATAAATTGCAGAAACCCCCTTTTAATAATCTCATAGTATTAGTATCTGAGGGGTAAAAAAAACCAAGTTAGCTAATTTTACTATGCCAAAAGAAATTAAAGATGTATCCTTTGTTCTAGGACTGAGCCTTTTATTAGAACTCAGCATAATTGACAATCACAAGTACTCAACTAACAAGCGATACCAATAAAGTCCTAAATATGTAAGTGTTGTAGAAATTGATATGGCACTGAAAATATGTGTATGATAAGCATCAAAATGGTAAGTATTCTGCTATAATAAGTTAAATTATAGTAGAATATCCATACAGTAGTATCAATGTATATAGCTTGAATTCTTTTAAGAAAATATGACACAAATGAAAATGGGCATAAAATAGTAATGTGAAAGTAGGAGTTGTTTGGTTAGACTATGAGAGGAAGAGATAGGTATATATAAGTACCATTCAGTAATATGTCTGGCACAAGAACTTGGACGAAAAGACCTCTTCCCAGATATGCTTGGCTTCAGTTCAGAAACAGTGACAACTCCCATCTTCTCTCAGCAAAATCTCAACTTCCCCAAAACCATTAACTTATATGCTTTTAATACCTAAGGACCCATTATTAATTAATACTCATAAATTAACCTCAACTTTATTTGCTGCCATGTTCTCTCTGTGTCAGTGTGTGTGTGTGTGAAGGGAGAGTAGCTAGAAAGGCAGAAAGCTGGAGTAAGAAAAGATCCACAAGAAACCATGCACGAGGGTTAGAGTTAAAAACATGAAATTGAAGTTATATACAATCATTTTATACTACTATCACTTTTAACTTATTACCACAGGCGGATGGCACATACATATAATCAACAAGTTCAACGAAATTCAATTATTTCCACGTGTGAAAAGTCACTTTAATATTTTAAAAATTATATTAAATTTTGATCTCATCTTTCAAAAGTGTAATGGTTTTCATTAGTGAGAAACTAAAGATTAAATGCATCAAATTAAAATTCTACATTTGCTTCTGAGTGTTATTTCTCATGTTATGTTATTAGGCTTGTTATGAAAAATTACTTGTTGTTGTAGGTTTTCTTTTTAATTTTTTTTCATAAGGAGGGGGACAAGGAAAAGAAGAAAAATATGTTGTGGTCTATTGATTAAGTTTGAACTCTCCACCTTAACTGCGGAAGACATCAAGTCATGAGTTAGCCCTCAAATCTTATTACCATAGTCTTGTAGATTAATTTAATTTGATTGTGTAAAAATTTATATAATTTTTGTATAGAGCATAAAATTCTAAAAAAAAAGAATAAAAGGGTTGAAATACTAACAATTTAGGGAGTGATTTTAATTTTCTTGTCTGGTAAAAAGTCAAGGATATGTTGCTACTTTTCGGTGAAAGGTGGGAAGAGTGACTTTTTTTAATTTTCACTATGTTTTGTTTTCTTAGAGATGGCTGGATTCCCGAATGTTTGCAATGCTTTTAGGGTTTGTAATCATGCCTAGTGAAAGCTACATCCCTTAAAAGATTAATCTTTTTAAAGACCAACTTAATTAATCATGTCTAAAGCTCATTAAAGTAGGGAAAAAAAAAAAAGCAAGATTAGTTGGCTTACATTGTGCTTTTTATGGGCAGAACTACAGTCAATAGGGTAATTATAATATGCTGCATTTTACAAAAGAAACACCTAGTGATAACTGATAAGAAAGGGAAATCATAGAGGAAGAGACATGAAGACACCCACAAGGCTACTATGGGAAAAAAAAAAATCGGAAATAACTTTATTTATAATCGGTACTTAAAAAATAGTCACAGTTTCAAACGAAATCGAAATTTAGCCATTTTTTCATGTGAAGATAAAATCTGAATAAAAACACTCTTAAAATTCCGGAAAGGAGTTCGAAATTTTTCCATATGAGATTCCAGCATAATATGCTTAAATTTCATAATGTGTTGGAGTTCCAACATAATATGCTGGAAGTTTATACGCATTAGCTCCAAAATCCAGCATATTATGCTGGAACTTTCCGTGTTTCAGCTAGTTTTTTATCCAGATTCTATCTCCGCACAAAATACTGGCTATTTTTCACCACTCCCTCCGTTTTAATTTATGTGAACCTGTTTGATTGGGTACGGAGTTTAAGAAAAAATGAAGACTTTTAGAATTTGTGGTCCTAAACAAGTCAAAAGGGGTGCAGAGTATTTGTGTGGTTATAAAATGCTTCTCATTAAATTAGAGTTGGAATAAACTAAATTGTTTCCAAATTTAGAAATGGGTCATTATTTTGGAACGGATCAAAAAGGAAATAGGTTCACATAAACTGAAACAGGGGGAGTATGTCATACCAATTCTCATTATGGATTTAGACATCCGTAACTTTACTTGAAACAAAGTTACAAACATTTGGAACTACCTAAAATTATTAAGAGCATATTTGGAAAGCCACCTAGGAATTGAATTTGGATGTAATTACACAGTTTTGGCATGTTTGTTTGGCCAAGTAATTACTTGGTCAGCATGGAATTGGGTGTAATTGGAGGGGTGTAATTACACGCTCTAATTCTCAAGGGGAAGGTAAGAATTGGTGGTAATTACAGTGTGTAATTACAAGGTTGCCTTTTAGTTTCTTCCCTTTTTATTTTGTTTTAACTTATTTTCTTTATAACTTTTTATTCCTATTATTTAAATTTTTAAATTTTATTTTTACTTTTTAATTTTTTTGAAATTTTAAAATATATTTTTCTTTGTACATTATTTATCTTTTATTTCTCTACCTTTACTTCTTGTGATTTCACGTAATTGCTTATATTTTATTTTTTATTTAATTTTTTGAAACTACACCTCCTAATATTAGAAATAATGAGTCATTAACAAATTAGGCATATAATGAGTGATGCAATTAAAGTAAAATTTCGTTGTTAAATGTGGTTATAAACTTATTATGTTTCCTAATCTTAAGTTGTTGTGGAACTTACTATTATTATGTTAGAATTTGACATATGTTAAACTTTTTTTGTGTGTGTTTTAAAATTGTGCTATATTCATGGTTCCAGTTTGCTTGTTTTAGTAGTATTGGTTCACATTGCAAGTTGTTCATTTTTTAGTTAGAATTGATAGATTAGTTTTGTAAAACATTTGAATAATGTTATGACATTATATTTATATATATTAATTTATTTTATCAAATATGAATTCCATGATATTCTTACAAAACGTATGTTTTTAGTTTTGTAAGTATCTAAACTAAGTATTATTAATTTAGAAAATATATATAAATTATTTTTATAATTATTTATTATAAATATATGATTACTAATTAATGTATATTCACGAAAAAAAATATACATCTTAAATACCAAATATAATATCATTTATACTTATAAAAATTTATAGGCATACATTTATTATATTAATTTTTATGTTTTGATAATTACTTCATTTAAAATTTAATCTAACTGTGTAATTACACTTGTGCAATCAAACAGTAAACTTGTAATTACACTATGATAAACAAACAGGTCGTCGTAATTACACAATTGTATAATTACTAAGTTGTGTAATTACTACCCTAGTAATTACATCAATTCCAATTAACTGGTGGCTTTTCAAACAAACCATAAATGAATTGTAAGCAATCGTAAAAGGAATTTTTACACCCTATAGAAAACCTTAGTACCCTATTTATTTTAAATAAATACCATTTTAAAATATTACATCCTATAGATACCTTTTATACTTTATAGCCAAATATCTAATTATAGTTACATCCTACATTTAAGGCACCATAAATGCTAAATAATATTTTTCTCTCTCCTTTTTAGTCTTTTCTCTCATATAATCACCGTAAAATTGACTAACCACGCTCTCTCTCTCTCTCTCTCTCTCTCTCTTTTCATACACTTTACTCTTTCTCTCTCAACCCACAATTCATACCTCTTCTCCCACCCAAATTCTCTAGTTCTCCTCCATTATCACTCCATTACAATCGCTTAGGGTAAGTTTAATTCGTTGATTTTGATAGACGGAGAGCAATTGGTTCAACTGTAGTGGCTCGATTCTGCATGGCAGTGGTCGTCGAAGTAGGGTTCACAGCTTTTGCGTAATTCATGGCTTCGTTTGTGGGATTTGAGGGCTGGTGATTGTTTGTAGTTGTTGTAGGAGGTTGGACAGATGTGTTAGGGGGCTGACCAGCCGGAATTAATGGCTGGCCGCCGGCCGGCGAAGCCATAAGGCTGTTTCTCTCTCTAGATCGCCCAAATCGCCTATTTGTATTCAATTGTATTCGAATGTATATTTCAGCTGTATTCACATGTATTCAGCAGCATTCATTTATATATTTTAGATGTATTAAAAAGTTATGCGTATTCTCTTGTATTCAGTTTTAATCAGTTGTATTTAACTATTTTATTCAGCAGTAGTTAATTGTATTCAAGTGTTTTATACAACTGTATTCAGTTGTATTCAGTTATAGTTAGTTATATTCAACTATTTTATTCAGCAGAAGTTAGTTGTATTTTGTTGCATTCAAGAGTTTTATTCAGCTGTATTCAGTTGAATTTTATTGTATTCAAGTATCTTATTCAGATGAATTAAGTTGTATTTTGTTGTATTCAACTGTATACAGTTCTACTCAACTGTATTATTCATATGTATTTCTCTTTATTCAGCTATAATCTTTATTATGTATCTTTCAAATGCAGATTAATGAGGGATCGTTTTAGTTCGTTGAGTTACATTAGGAGAATATCATGTGATTTGATTTCCTTCCGCTTTTAACCAGTTTAACCTTCCAGATTTGCGCAGATACATTACTGTATTTAA